AAATAGTAACTGAATGAAGACTAATTCCGCTTCCATCTGTCAAATTACTTCCATTGTTGTCCAGCCATGTTATATTAAGAATTCCAACTTCTATAGTCACAGTACAGTTTAATGAATACAATTGACCAGCAAAAACAGGCTGACTTGAAAATATAGACACTATAGGATTAGCTACAGAAAGCAGAAAAAATATTAATATTTACATGCATTATGCTATTTACTAAATGTCTGAAGTCTGTACATGATGCTTGCAGTTTTAGTTGTTGGTACATCAGGAATACTTAGAGTAGCTACACAAGTATAATCATCTCTTTCATGAGTAGAAGCATTAAGAGAACTGAATAATAATGTGGCCATAGACCCACTATTAGTAACAGTGACTCCTTCCAGTGTATCATTAGTAAACACAGTACCATCAAGAAGCCATTGAACACTAACAGTAGCAATACTTGATACATTAGCAGGTGCAGTTCCAGTACACACTAACTGGAATGAATCTCCTGTTACTGGAATACTACTATCATTAATTAACACTGTTGGTAGTGGTACAACTAGGAAAGAAAGAATCAAATTTTATCATAGCTAGCAAATTACAGCTTACTTTCAACTGTAATAATATAATTATTTGATATAGCAGTATTTGATGGTATAATCAGTTGAAACCCATTCACATTACCAGCAGGTCCAACACTAGCAGTACAATAGTAATCAGTTCCATTATCTGATAGAGATGCAGTAAATATTAAACTACTACCAGTAGTTGACAAATTGATCTCCCCAGTACTAATGCTATACTTATCATCATTCATTGTAATGAGTCCATTAGGCCCAAACCAGTTGATGTTAACAATATGATTAACATCCAGTGGAGTAATAGTGATGGTACATAATACCTGAATCTCATTGCTCTCAAAAATACGTCCTGTTGTGTTGGCACTAGATATGACCACAGGAGTAGGTACTACATTTTATCAACAAAACATAATAAAAAAACCTATTTAACAACACTTACCTAATACAAATACAGAATAATTTGATGTTACAATAATAGTATCCGCATCATTCAGAGCTCCACAAACATATTCTCCAGCCTGTGATGCTTGCAATGAACTGAAGTTAAGAGTAAGTGTATATACAACACTATCATTCACTGATATCATTGTAGGCTCTAAAGTATCTAAAACTATGTCTCCATCAGTTGTAGAATTGAAGAGAATGAGATCAGGACCTGCCCAGTACACTTCCACCATAGTATCATTCACTTTAGGAGCTAATGTCAATGTACAGGTTAATGAAAAGGAAGAAGAATGATCCAATGGCATCATAACTGGCCCTTGTACATTAATACTGACAACTAAAAGAAACATCAAAATACACTATGGATAAAATATACCTTGAGGTACAGTAACAGTGATTATTTCACTTGGTAGGTCTTCCCCAGTAGCTACTAGTCTAATATTATATTCATTATCAGGACGCAAGGAGAGAGACAGCTCAGTATTCATAGTATTGTCATTCATAATAATACCATTACTGTTATTAACAAAGACATGATACTGAGGAGTAGCACTAATCACTGCTGA